ACCATTTAGCAACACACCAGCTCACGTTCATGCCTCATTCATAGCTGATCACAACTGTATGCCCTTAATGACTTATAAAGGTGGATCTGAGAGCTATAGGTTCTGAGGTCATGTTATTTACATGTACGTGATATCACATCCTACAGGTCACAGTTAGAGACTGGGGACATAACAAAAGCCTGCTTGACTATCCTCTACTGCAGCCATACATGCTACATGCCCTAGGCTTGCCTTAAAATGCCGTCTCCTCCTTTTGAGGGTTTTTGAGTGCTGTTTGTTATTGTTGTTAAGGGCTGTCGACTTGGCTCCGACTCACAGAGAACCTGTGTAAGGTTTCCGATGAATGGCTGGTGGAGTTTGAACCACTGATGATTTGGTTCAAATCGACCCTGTGGTCCAGTGCATTATCCTGCAGTGTCACAAACCTGAACTCCTTATTCCTACATCATACACAAACATCACTGAAATCTGCATTCAAGCACAGGAACCAGGAAATTATAACAAAAGCTGCACAGGAAAACACTAGAGAAACCCAAAGCTGGAGCTCCTTAAGGTCTTTTTATTAGAACTGTCGATCCCATCACCCAGAGGGGGACCTGGGGAAGTCTGCACACCCTCTAGGTCTAACGGGACGGCGGTGTTGGCAATAACTGTAGATGCAGCGTCAACAATCCTTGGGTGACTGCCACCACGAGCAGCATTTGTCAAGCATCTGTATGACTTAGCTACAATACAGAGCTGCTTTGCTATGTAGTTCACAACATTTCGGTTAATTATACTTCTAAAAATAATCTACAGTGAAACAAAAGCCAGCTGAACACTCATTTCATTTGGGAAAGAAACCGTTACCCACTGAAGCAAATAGCTCAGGACCCTCATCCAACAGTAAAAACCCCATCAATACCTTTGAAAACTGCAAAGGGCTCCCAAAAACATGCAAAGATGTCAGTCACAGGTCTCTTTCTCACCTGGGTATGTTCTAATGTGCCTACTTTTAAACCTCCCCCTCCTCACTGAGTACCTTTCCCAGACATCCCTGTCTTCTCTGAGTGAACAATTAAACCATTCACAACATGGCTCCTCTAAAATCATGAAAATTTGTCCACTGCACTCTACACTTCCTGGAGACACATCCAGAGAACTGGAAGAGATGACTGCAGAGTCTTCGGTCTGAATGGGGAGCCCTGCAGCACCAGAACTGTCAAAGCTGACACTGACCGCTATCTCTGCAGACACTGAAGGTCTCAGAGGTGCCAAACAGGATGTCCCTGCTTGCAAGTTCATTGACTATAAATGCTACATGGTGTCATAACAAGCAATAATGTGCCAAGATTCTTGGGCTGAGATTAACCACTAAAAGACAACATGGGAAATGTGTTGAGTTGGTCCTCATGAAACTCAAGCTCAGTGGGAGCACAGCATTTAGCACTTCTATTTACAAGCCTGTAGGGAGGAAAATCAGACCGTTATAAAGCTGGAGATGTTAATAAATGTCTTAGCGTTATATTACAGGGCTACAATGAAAATGACATGAATCTTGGCCAAGGCAAAGACGGGGACCAAAGTTCACCACTTAAGAAGTATCTGGAATTCAAAGAAAGTTAGGCATATAGTTTATCACAAAGGAGGACTCTAAGTCACCCTTCACCTGCACTGCTTTATCAGATGGAGGGAGTGTTAAAGTGGGGATGCCCCCATTGGCATGGCGCTGTAGGAGAAGCACTAGACTGCTGACCAAAAGGCTGGCAGTTCAAACCCAACAGCTACTCCTTGGACACCCTACACCCAGTTGCTATTAGTCAGAACAGACTCAACAGCACTTAACAACATGATACAGAGAGGAAAGGGCCCCTAGAGGCAAGGAAGAACAAAGCAAAAGAGAAAAGATATGGCAGTCTCATGCTCCTGGGGTAAATGGTGAATGTTAAAGTTTACTCCTTTTATTCCATTTTCTATCCTGGGAACACCATTTTTATCCTTCTACACACCTTCAATTTATTCTAATTCTGGTGTCGCAAATATCTGCCCAGAAAGATAAATGAAAGAAAAATCACATTAAGAACTTTCACTTAGAATTTGTAAATGTGCAACACTTTTAAGTTCAAAGAAACCATCTGATAACTGAACCTCCTACCACTTATTTTATATATGCTAAGGATTTTGCTACGTACCCTGTCTCTGCTTTAATACTCTCCACTCTCTAGAGGTAGGTGTTAAAAGATTTCTACAGCACCTCAGCAGAGCTAGGAGCCCTAGTAGCACGATGCGTTACAAGTTGGGCTACTAACCACAAAGGCAGTGATTTTAACTCACCAGCTGCACTACAGGGCAAAGATGAGGCCTTCCTTTGCTCTCATCAAGATGACAGCCTTGGAAACCGTAGACAGGGTTACAAGTCAGAACCAGCTCGATGGCACACAACCACACCACCAGAACAGTTGTGAAATCACACACTAGTCTGCGGTGGAGCAAAGAGTTAAAACCCCGAGTCCTATATTTAGCTAATATCCTGTACTTAACCCTACATTTGGCAAGAAAAGTTTGTATTCAACACAGGAGCCCTGTAGTGCAGTGGCTAAGCACTTAGCTGCTCACAAACAGGTCAGCAGTTTGCGCCCACTAGCCCCTCCGCAAGAGAAGATGTGACAATCTGCTTCTGTAAAGATTTACCATCTTGGAAACTCTATGGGGCCAGTCTACTCTGACACATATAGGATTGACATGAGTCAGAATTGATGTGATGACACTGGATTCTATTCAACATAGAGCTCAAATTCTTTTACCTTAGATCATGTTGTTGCTGTTAAGTGTCGTTGAGTCCGTTCCAACTCACAGCAACCCTATAAATGGTTTCTGAGAAGCAGTTAGTGAGTTTGAACCACCAATCTTTTGGTTAGCAGTCCAAAGCTTATCCTACAGCACCACACATATGCCCAAGCTATTTTAAAAGCTGCCTTTTAGAACAAATCACTGAAACAGATAAAACAGAAAATTACGATGTGCCCGTGGCATCTAGAAACTTGCAACTAGTGAGATCAAACTGTCAGGAGGGCCAGCAGTTAACAGGACAGACACAGAGAACTAACTGAAAGCACTGCTGACGCTCACAAGAGCAAGTGAGAATTTGAATGAAACGTAATGCCTTCTCTTGAATTATAGGGAAACTAGCTCACCCTTGTGGACAGAAAGCTCAAGTACACAACCAATTTCCTCCAGCATCGCCCGGGAACTCACCCACGGAGATCAACTTTCGGCCAAACAGACAGAGAAGGATATAAAGTGAAGGATAACACCAGGAGGCACCCACTCCTTAGAACAATCAACCATCCGAGATCAAAAGGGCAGCAAATGTCAAAAACAAAGCTCCAAAGAAAGCAGGAATGGGCCGGAAAGAAGGACAGTGGAGACAGGGAACCCAGGGAAAGAGTGTTAATTGCTTTGCAGAGAACCAAAATAGTGTGATGAAACAGAGACCCTATAGATTGAATGGTTAGAGGCCAAGACATTATCTGTAGTTATTCTTGCTAAGTGCTGTCCAGTCAGTTCCTATCCAAACCCTGTATAGGGCTTCCAAGGAGTGAATGATGAGCTTGAACCACTGATCTTGAAGTTCAAATGGCTTTGCAGTCTGGCTTACATTAACCTACAGCACCACAAGAGAACTGCAAACAATACCAATGCCCACCATTAGTAAGGAGTACTGGTGTGACGCTGCAGGATAATTCACTGGACTGTGTGGTCAGTTTGAACAGCAAGGTTGACAGTTCAAACCCACCAGCCACTCCTCAGAAACCCTATACAAAGCCGCTATGAGTCAGAACCAACTTGAAGGCACTTAACAATAACAGTATCATTAGTCAACAGGCCAAATATCCATCAGCCACAATAAAGATCACCAACAAAACACGAGGCAGCCATGAAAGACTCAGGTAGATCTGTCAGTGATGATATAGAAGACCTGTAAGATATACTACAAACTGACAACAGCAAGGTAAGAACACAGTATATGTGAGCTTATGTATATACATTTCTTCAGCAGCTATGTACATGTAAATATCTTCCAAAATCAGCCAATGAAAATCCTATGGACCACAATCACAGGGATGACATAGGAGCAGACAGTGTTTCCTTCTACTGTACATGGGGCCAACACACGGCATTAACAACCATCCCAAATGTGTTAACAGAGCTTATGTTTAGGAAGAGGAATTTGAGGTGGTGATATTCTATATTCTGTATGACATCTTGCCAAAGGTGTTCTTATGTGTGCATATGTGTGTGTTAAATATTAATTTTATTAGTATATAAAGCCAAATTAGTATGACAAAAAATGTACGTCTCCAATTTTTGATGTCAAACTCTTATGTTTTAAATTTATAAATGCAGTAAGCCTTTCACTTAAAGAAGGTCATAATAAAATAGCCATCTAAGAAAGGACCCTTTATGGAAAGCATTTGGTTTAATGCTAAACATGGCACCACCATCTATCTCTGTGGCTCATAAATGTCCCATCTCAGCTTTGATCGGTAGAGTTGGCCCACCTGCTTTGTCTTTGGAGAGGAGACTGACTACCCCTCTTCCTCATAGGTCCATTTGTGGGAAGAACAAATCACACACATTCAGCACACAAAGGGATGAGAACTGGGTCTTTCCCACAATTCCTATCACTCAGATGTCCTTACCATATAGGAATGTTTGCTCTCCCAATAACTACAAATGTCCTGTGAATTAATTTCCCTAAAGTTGCTGAAAAGTAAAACATGTTAAAAAGGACTCCAATGATTCAAAAGGAAAAAGTACTTTCCAGGAAAAATAAATCTAGGATTGAGTGACATTTTCCATTCCAGTGTGAAGACCAGACCCCATCTCCAAAATTAGCAAACCAAAATCACGCCTTCAAGGCAATTACACTCTATGATTACTAGGTAGGGAGGGAGGTAAACCTAGGAAACTGAGATTTTAAAAATGAAACAAATGTGGCTACTGTGTGACCTTCTTACCTAATACAGCGCGTGTTTCTTGCTCCTGGTTCTTTCCCAAAGAAGCCATCATTTTTGAATATGTATCAATCCACCAAGGTTTATATTTCAAAACCTGCTCAATTGCCTCATCTTCAAAAAGGTCAGCTCTGGAGGAAAAGAAAAGGAAAACACATACAACTCTGAATGGGCTATAGCATTAAAGCGGATTTTCACCTTCACATTTTTTCACTTAGTCCGTTCCAATCACATTACAAAAAATCCAAAAGCAAACCCACTGGGGTCAACCCTACAGGACAGAGTAAAATTACTCCTTAGGGTTTCCAAGGCTCTAAATCTTTACGGGAACAGAATGCCTTATCTTTCTCCTCAAAGTGGCTGGTAGGTTTGAAAGCCAACCTTTTGGTTAGCGGCTTAGCCCGCTGGTCCATCTGGACAAGTTACACTATAAATACTCACTGCCATCAAGATGATTTTGACTCACACAGAACAGAGGAGAACTGCTCCCTAGGGTGTCTGAGACTGTCATTCTTTACGGAGTAGACAGCCTCCTCTCCCAGTAGGAAACACGGTGTGTTTGAACTGCTGGCCTTGCAGTTAGCCGGTCTGCAACCCATTGCTTAACCACCAGGTAGGGCTCCTTACACTACAAATTTGTTGTTGTTGTTAAGTGCTGTTGAGTCCATTTTGACCCACAGCAACCCTGTATAAGGTTTCTGAGGCTGTAATTCTCGGGGGAGCAGAAAGTCTCATCCTTCTTCCACAGAGCGGCTGGTGGGCTCAAACCTCCAACCTTGTGGATCGTGGACAAGTGCTAATCCTACAAAGTCACCACACTTCCTTATATTACAAACACAGCTTGGTAATTCAAAGCACTGGTAAGGTAAGCACTGGACTGCTAGCCACAAGGTAAGCAGTTCAAACCCGCCAGCTACTCCTTAGAAACCCTGTACAGGGTGGCTGAGTCAGAATCAAGTGGACAGCACTTTATAACACCTCTTTACATAGAAGCTACATAAAATACTATTCTAGTCACACCCCAATGTCCCACGCCACACTACAGTGGCATGGGATGAAGTGAATTTAAACACACAAAAGACTGAGGTCTAGCACTGCTCTGTGATTGTGCCAAAGATTGTACTGCATCCCCCAAAACGTTATGTCAACGTCCTAACCCCCAGGACCTGTAAATACAACCCTGCTTGGAAATGGGGATTTCCTTCTGCTATGTTTGTGAGCCCACACTGCAGTAGAATGGGTCCTAAACGTAATCATAGAGAGATGTCTATAATACGAGCAAAACAAACACAGAGAAACATACATGGGGAAGACACTAATTGAAGGCAGAGGAAAATGAATTTACAGATCCAAGAATGGCAAGGATTGCCGGCAGCCACTACTGTTACTGACAGAGATGAAGATCTCCTGCTAGACACCACAGAGAGAGCCCACCCTGCTGGTGCCCTTAATGTGGACTTCGAGCCCCCAATACTATGACACAGTAAATTTCTGTTTTTCAGAGCCACCCACTTCTGGGATATTTTTTTGTTACATCAACACTAGGAAATTAAGACCATTTGCAGGTACCACCGATTTTGGTAAAGTTACAAGAAACCAAAGAATCTTTTAATTCCGTCAATAAATATAAACAAACACATGAAACTGAGGATACTGTTTATCTACAAAAAAACCTAACAAGGACATACACACGACACAGGCACACATCATCGTTTTCTTATGTGCATGTTTTCTACAAAAATGCAAAACTATTTTATTTAACTATGCTGCTCTTAGCAGTTCCTTGATTGGAGAAGGGGAAAAGGGGGGAAAAAAGAATGCAACTTTTGTAAAGAACAAAAAACTAATTTTCATATTTTAATTACAGCGTTTACTAGAAAAATTACAGCTAGACTCAAAATATACCTCTTGGAGGACATTCATTCAGTAATTATGCTAGATTATTAGCATTCAAAGCAAGAAATACATATTCTTAGGAAAAGAATGACAAAAAGTTTAACTCATGGTGAGAAATTCATTTATAGCGATATTTCAGTTAATTATAAAATCAAGAAACTGATTGTTCTAATTAATTGAATTTTCTAGCTGATAGTTTAAGACCTTAAATGCTGTTTTTGCTCTCGACTGAAATGTTTAAATCTTTTAAAATGAACAGGATCAGAGATAGCGTAGTGAATTCTTCACAGGTGTCAGGCCCTATGCTAAGTGCCCCTTAGCTATTCTATCACTGGACCTTCTAATCACCACCACGGGGAGGATACTATTAATACCTCATTTACATGGGTAACAACGGAGATTCAGCAAAGTTACGTGTCTTGGCTAAATTCAGAGAAACAACAGGAGAGTGGTCAGAATTTGGATCCACTTGAGTCTTATTACGGAATCCTAGCTCTTAAGCAATGTAAATCTTTATGTTGAGGAGAAAAAGTACACACTGGGCAAAACTAAACTGGACCACAAGGTCAGTTTGAACTGCAAGGGTGGCAGTTCAAACCTACCAGCTGCTCCTCAGAAACCCTACCCAGGGTCATTATGAGTTGGAACTGACTTACCCGCACTGAACAACAACAATTTCTGCTATAGTCTTTCACTTACCAATCAAGCAATGAACTGTTTCTAGGAAATTAGTTCCAAAAAAGAAATAAGAGTGCAGAAAATTAAATAAAATGTGCATGAATGGAAAAACCAATTTGCTCTGGAAGCTTTCACCCAAATCACAATAAAAAATTTCAAAAATAGGGAACAAAATTGCAAAAATGCTAAATAAGTTGCTGACTATGTAAATCATGTTCCAAGCTGATGATGATAAGACGTAGGCATCCCCGGCCCTAGCAGAACTTACAGTCCCATGGGAGAGTTAAACAACTGGGATACAGCACAACCGTCCAACAGACAGTACACAATTCTAGGACAAAATCAAAGTGGGGAGACAAGCCAGGTTCTACGTCAATAGCTCAAAGATATTTGACAGCTAACCAGAAAAGTGGGGTGAGAGAAAGTGTTCTGAGTTGAAAGAATAAGTTGAGTAAAGGGTAGAAAACAAGAAGGAACATAGAAGACGTTGTTTGAAAAGTTCAGAATGCAAACACTCACCGCTACATACAGGACAGAGCACAGCTACTCTTTACAGTTTCCAAGATTGCAAATCTTTATGAGAACAGATAACCTCATGTTTCTCCTTCAGAGCAGTCATTGGAGTATATGCTTAGTCCACTAAGCCACCAGAGCATAGCTGAGAATAATACATATACTGCAATGACCACTTGCTAGGACACCATGTTAAGGCATCCAAAAGATTTTGATGCCTAAAAACTGAACACTTAAAAGGTTTCACAGAGAAGCATCACTCTAGTTACTGATTGGAAAATGGTTTTAAAAGATAAGCTTGAAGGAACAGAAATAAAGTGGCCTACACTTGATACCAGGTGTCCTGGTGTGGCGCTACGAGTTAATGGGCAGGACTGCAAAGTTGCCTTGAAACCCGAGGTTAATAGTTCAAGCTTACCAGTCGCTCCTCAAAAATCCTATACAGGTTTGCTATGAGTCACAACTGACTCGATGGCACTTAACAACAACAGACTTGATAGCGGGAGTCCTGGTGTGTCACTGTAGGGTAAGCACCGGCCTGCTAACCAAAAGGTTCACAGTTCAAATGTACCAACTGCCATATTGAAAACCCTATACAGGGTCGCTGAGTCTGAATCAACCTGACGGCACGTAACAGCAACTTGATGGCTGCTAGCAACTGAGTTAGTGGTTGTAGACAGGGGCACAGAGGATAGACATGACATATATTTCTTTAGTAAGGAGACTCTTCAGAGTGTAAGGGGCAAAGGAGCTAGAAGAATCAAGATTGGCAGCCAGAATTCTGGACAAGGGACTGACAACACAGGAACAAGGACGCCAACAGACGGGTGGAAAGATAGTGACTTCTGTCTGGAACAGGTGCAGTACAGTTCAAGGTACCCTTCCGGGACACAGGAACAGACGGGTGGAAAGATAGTGACTTCTGTCTGGAACAGGGGCAGTGCAGTTCAAGGTACCCTTCCGGGACACAGGAACAGACGGGTGGAAAGATAGTGACTTCTGTTTGGAACAGGTGCAGTGCAGTTTAAGGTACCCTTCCAGGACACAGGAAAAGAGAGCTGTGTGTGCACTCATATGTCTAGTTGCACAGAAAGTAAGATGCTCAGGAGAGACAAGAGGGTCATGAACATGTGGACATTCACTGAGGCCAGGCTTACCGAGGCAGAACTGGCACAGTGACAGAAAGGAGCCGTGGAAAGTGGAGCACTGGTACCATTGAACCCAAGGGTAGAAGAGCCACCTGAAAAGATGTGTGCTGGGATTTTTTTCTCTAGAGGCACCATGACAAACACAAAAACAAGATAGCTTTGTACCACCTCTACCACCACCCAAAAAAATTTCAAAATGTTTACATTTCTATTTTGAGAAAAGTCTCACTGATACAATCCTAGTTATTTAAATTGTGATGGTTTAGGCTTTAAACGGTTCATGAATTAACACTTTCATGAGCAACATTTGATGTTGACTAATGTCCTGGGTATGGTGCTACACGGTAATGCGCTAAACTCTAAGATCAGTTTGAATCACAAGATCAACAGTTCAAGTTCACCACTCACTCCTCGGAAACCCTATACAGGGTCACTATGAGTCAGAACTGACTTGGCAACACTTAACAACAACAACAACGTACAACTTTCTGGAATAAATTATTTTCAAATTTTAAAATGCCATTAGGAAGTCCTGTTGTGGCACTGTAAGATAAGCACTGGACTGCTAAGCGCAAACTCACCAGCCACTCCTCAGAAACCTTATACAGGGGTCACTACAGGCACACTGAAGGAATTGGCAAAGAACAAGGCA